GTGTCACTTTTAGAACATTCCACTCTTGCCCCATGCCTAAATCAGAATAGTAACGATACATTTAAATTTAATAAATTACATCACTTTCAACATGAATTTTTCTGAGAAATGATTAGCATTCAACATGTCATCACCCACAGAAGGTTAAATTAAACCTTGGGGAAAATTTGGCGATTTTTATATCCCTATCTTCTTCCCGTTTGCGAAGGGACTATTATATAAAACAAGTTAGGAATTGGTTAAATAAACAACGTATTATTGGTTACCATGGTTATATTTTTCTTACCCTGTAAGAGGAACCCCAGAACTGGTTGGGTCGATCAAATTGACATGTATTTCACCCAACCCAGTCTGTGTCGAAAATATTCACTGTGACAGTTGGCAATATTCTTGTGATTATCAAGCAACCTGTGAATTTTTTTAGCTCCGCTGTCGACTTTGTCAAGCAGATCTTATCATATGAGTGATTGTTCGTCGGCGTTCGTCGTCCGTGTCAATGTTTTACTTGTTCGACTTCTTCTTAAAAACTACAAGCCTGAATGCTTTGATACTTGGTGTATATGTACCTTGGGTAGACCTCTCTTAGATTTGTTCATTTCATGATGATATCTTCAATTCTCCAATTTTGGTGAATACTTTTGTAATTTTTGGTAAAAGTGATATTTTCAACTTCTTGTTAATAACCGCAAGTGCAATTGTTTTGATATTACATATATAGGTACTACATGTGGACCTCTCTCAGATTTGTTCATTTTGGAATTATATCTTTAATTCTCTAATTTTGGTGAATATTTTTGTCATTTTTGATAAAAAGTGATATTTTCAACTTCTTGTTAAAAACCGCAAATCCAATTGCTTTGATATTACATATATGTACTACATGTGGATCACTCTCAAATTTGTTCATTTCATGATATCTTCAATTATCTAATTTTGATGAATATTTTTGGTAAAAAGTGATATTTTCGACTTCGTGTTAAAAACCATAATCATTTATGGTGAAAAATGATATTTTTGAATTCTTGTTGAAAACAGCAAGTCCCATAGCATTTATACTGTGCATATTGTTCATTTTCTAATGATATCTTCTGTTCTTTAATTGAAATGTGCATTGCTAACAGCGGAGCTATCTCAGCCGAGAGGCTGCTTGTTTTTTATTGCTAAACTGGTTGATGACATGTACATTACTATCCACCATCTGTGTGACCTAAAATGTGGCGATCACAATTAATACTAAAACCCCAGGCAATATGTTCACCTATGCATCTGTAATAACCAATTGTGTACTCTAATGTATTCATAAAGCTGCAGCACAAAGAAAACTGTAGGTTTAATATTATGTGACAGCTGTCATGTTAACAAAGGTGTGGTATGGTTGTCTAGTAAAATGATGCTTAGACCTACCTTGCACTCCCATGGAGGACACTTTGATGTCATAAATTGGATAAGTAGGATACCTGCAGGTGTGGTTAGATACTATAATGAAAAATAAATAAAATCCACTAACAATAGATCTATGAAGCGATGAAAAACCTGTAAAATATGAGCACTTCATGTATTTGCAAGTCTCTATTGCAAGTACTGATGGTATGACATCAGGTTTTACACTGTAATATATTGTTTAGAATAGAATGTTAAGCGTAGGGACTCAAGCAATATTATTTATCTTTCATCACTAGTCCTACAAATTTTATATCAGACTCTGTCTATCAAACTTTCTGGCACTTTTAGAAATGCATAAAAAACAAAAGACCATTTGTTATGCTAAGTGTATGTACATTAGCTAACCAATCCAGTATGACCCCATCAGACAAAGTCCAAAAAAAGGACCCATGTTTTAGGATACGCATGTTTTTCAGTTTGGCTGTTATTTCTGAGACATGCCCAGGCCATATTTGTTCAGGCATGTCTTGACTGTTTTTAATCAAACTTAGTATAAACATCATTAATGGTATGTCAGTTTGTTTTGTGATTTGATTAAAAATGTCCGACTAGCACCCATGGTTAGTGTTTTATTTTCATGTGTCCTATGACGAACTTTGACTAATTTTGTTGATGAAAGTAGATACAAACATAATTGTATATCAAGTCACATGAATGTGTTTTTCATTTTGATGACTTTTGAATGACTGGTGTTCATTTTTTCCCACACTTTTGCCCTGCATGTTTCTTGGGAATGTCAGGGCTGGTTTTATTCAAACTTGGTATGTGAACAACACACGTTTTGTTTTGTTGTTTGATGCAAAATGTTGAACTGGTTTATATGTGGATTATACAATTTTGTACGATATAATAATTTTATTCCTAAGAGTTGTCACTTTGGACAGAACCTGTATAAAGTGAAATAACGCCATATTGTTATATGCTAAATACTTCAACATTTATTTATAATCTATCTGCATCTTTTATTGTTTATAAGTGATACAGTCACTAAAAACTAAACAGGGTTATTGGTAACTGAATAAATTTAGCTGACTTTTTCCTGTGTTCACAACATTATTTCATTTATCACTGCTCTATTTAAAGTTGCACAGTCACTCTGCATGTCAACCTTTCACATAAACAGTGTATTGTATATGTCTCATGGGACCCACTTCAAGCCGTGACTACCAGTACATCATTGTTACGCTTTACCAGTTAGTACTAGATATGAGCTTGTTTCCTATCCATACAATCACATTTAATGTGTCACTCATCTTTCATCTTTTCTAGTGATTAAGCATTTTCAAGAGTATACAGAACCAGAGAGTGGCGATAATTCACCACGAAGGACGTCAGCTGTCACGCCCACCGCAGACGAAGAAAAAGTTATACTTCCATTAGGAGAAACTACACTAACACATAACCTGGGTGTGCCTATTGTAGTTGTAGTCTCAAAAGTAAGTAAGAATATTTTTTTTTCATTTCTCATAATAAATTTAAATTTCTTTAAAACGGTTGGCTGATTGCTTTGATATTTTATATGTAGACACCTTGGGTGGATCTCTTACAGATTTGTTCATTTTCTAATTTTTGGTAAAAAGTGCTATTTTCTACTAGTGAAAAATGCTTAGATGATTATACCCTTTTCCCACCCGAATGAATGGCAAAAAACATTGGCTACAACATTGGTGTAAATTACTTCAATATTGAGTTGGCCATGATGTTGCCGAACTGTTAACATATTTAAATGAGCTATTGTAATTTGAACACGTTTGCACCATCCAGCATTCTGATTGGTTAATTAGCGACTTGACCTAACAGGTGAAAGAACACAGTTTCAACTTGTGTATGGGAAAAAACATGACTGATATCATATCGCATCAAGGGTTTACATGTGGACGAAAATATTTGCTTGCAATAAAACTAAAGTGAAGTTTACTTTTTCATAACAGTCCGATGAATTTATTTTTTGTAAGTTAATATTTATATTACATTGTAATTTTGATGAATATTTTGTAATTTTTCGTAAAAAGTGATATTTTTGACTTCTCATACAGTACTACTACGGCCATGTATAGATACCTCAGGTGGACTGATCTCTGCTAGATTTTAAATTTGCTTTACAATAATGTTTTGTATAAGAGTGTTAATATAAAATTGATAGAAATCATAATTTTAAGTCCATGATTTTTTTTCAATTTTTACGTTGCCAAGTGCAGTTCAATCTAATGTATGAGAAAGCTGGTCTGTGTTGATACTGGCATAGACATGAAAACAGTTTATTGTACGAACAATGTATATAACAAAGGTGCCAAAACATGGCTCATTATCCAAAACATCATCCAGGGCAATCTTTCAGATAAATACAGTAATAATTTTGTCAATAATGACAGGCAACCTCAAAATCCTGGCACTTGTAACTGATAGCAATACACAGACAGATGGATAATATTAGGTGCAACACAGATGCACTTTGTATCATGTTATTACAGTATTGGCATGTTGATGTTTTAACCAATGCCCAATATGGACTTTCAACACTTGTTTGTTTTATCTTTTTACAGTCAGATGCAATTTCAAGTTTGGAAAAAGAACACGAGTACAGAGATGAACATTTGGATTTTATTCAACAGTATGTTCGAAAATTCTGTCTCAATTGTATCCTTTGCACACAGTGTATGTGTTCATTCTTATCAACAACATCACAATATCAAGGGTTTTTCTAGAAAAAAATTGCAAGAGGGAGAACTGCAATTCAGTGGAGCCACCAAGTGGGGGAGATAGAGTTCTTCCTACCAGGGTGTGGAGTTTTTGATAATTCAAACTTAAAATGGAGCATTCTATGGCTTCCTTGGGGCCAAAATTACTATCAGACAGGTCACTATTGAAGACTGTGACCACATGTGACCCCTGGTCTATCAGAATTTTATGATTTGCTCCCTAGGGTAAGAGGGGCATGGCCATGGCATGAAGGCGCTGTGCCCCTGTTCCCTTGTTTAAAAAAATCCCTGCAATATGATTGTCAATTGCTTATGTTCATTTTGGAGAAATGGTTGAGGAGCCATACATAAAACGGGGACTTATGGTTTGCCCTGT